GGGGGGGGGGGGGGGAGGGGGGGGGGGTGAGAGTGTGCAGGGTTTGTGACCCTGGGGTTTGCAGAAGGGTGCGGTTGCGGAGGCAGGAGCCGGACTCTCCTTCCCCGTTTGCAGCGCCAAGCCCGTTCAGTGCTTTGATGAGCAAACCCTGAGCGCGCCGGTTGTGCCCGGCCGGCACGTTTCCTTCGGCCCGCACTAAGTCGGGTCGGGTGGTATCACCCCAGATCACGATCGCAATCGCCTTGGCACCCCGACACTTCAGCAAGTGCCTCACACGCGCCCCCAGCGTCCGAGGAGGTGTGATTTTGCGAGTAAAACGATCACTGTACACCCTAAACCCTAAACCATGGCGTGTGCCCACCTATCCCCCAGTACAGGGACATGATGGTGATGCCCATGGACACCTTGTCAGCCAGCCGCGCCCCCAGGAACGCGGTGTCGGTGTAGTTGTAGAAGGTGCGGTACTGCGGGGTGGGGGTGGGTGACGTGGGTTTTGGCACCAGGCACAGTGTGGCGCCAAAACGGAGAAACATGCGCCGCGCTCCCACCTTGACCAGGACGAGCAGCCCCCACCACCAGGGCGTGTTGGTCGCGTTGCGCACGGCCAGGCCGCTCGCCGCCGCCTCGCGCTGCTGCCGCTCGAGCTGCTCCACCCGCAGGGCCGTGTCCTGGCGTGAGGGCGCCGCCGCGGGTGCGAATGAAGTTGCGTCAGGGACATGAATTAAAGGGGAGCGCGGGACGTTTAGGGGGCCAGCGTGCGGGCGGCTTCTCGAGTTGAGAATTTGTGTGGGTGTGGGACGGTATGAGTGCGGGATTGGGAGGGGGGGAGGGGGCAAGGCTTGATGGATCTCATGCGAGGCCCAGCTGCTCCTATGTAAGGCCGGGTTTGCCACGAGAGCGTCAAAGGTCAGCGGCGACGCGTCCTGCGTAGCATATTCCTGGACGACGTCAAGGGTGCTTGTCTCGTCGTTGATGCCTGCGGAATTCCCCGTCCCCGGCCCCCCTCGGCCCCGAGGGTCGCACGTGCGGCACTCTCCGCCGCTTGGACCCCCAAATCTGGAACTCGCACGCTGCTACACTAGCGCTTATGCGCATGCTTGGCAAGTAAGCATGCACGCGTGCGCGGCACACTCATCCAGACGCTCGCTTGACCTGTCCGCCCCCCGCCGCCCACCGCATGCAGCTCTGACAGCTCGTACGCGTCAGCAAAGGAGTCCGTCTCCCCAAGCCTCTCCGCCATTGCAAACAGG